AAAAAAAAAAAAAAAAAAAAAACCATGGCACAGAAATAATAAAGAAACTTCATTAAGACACTTAAAGATAAATGAATACGACATAGCTAATTTTCAGTTAATAAAAGGGAAAAAAAATTTACTTGAATCGATTAACTTTTTGAAACATTAAAAAAAGAAAAACACTTTCATCATTACAAAGTGTTTTCGATAATATTATATTATTCGACTCCTTTCCTTTTCATATAAAATAAATAAATACAAGGTGAAAAAAAATCATACTATTCATCATTCTTAAACCGTTTCACACTGTCAACGATTCTGTGCTCAATATGAAACACAGCAAAAACTTACTGTAAATACAAGTGTGAATTATGCTGATTTCAGTAAACAAAAAACTCACAAACTTCTAGAACAGCCTTAACTATCTTATGGTTTAAAGTAGAATAACAGTATAAACTAAAACTGAAAAATGAGCAACATCGGATAAAAAACTTGTGTCACCGAAATTACTGCCGTGTTATTTGCCTTACCACCTCGGTCAATTTACACATTTAATTGCCAAAACTTCTATAAATTAATCTATTCCTGTGGTTATGTTGAACTGTGAAAAAAGATGGGAATAATGAGGATTTACATGTGACCGTCATCGTCACTTACAGTTTTGCTTTGAAATAAAACATTTGCGGACACAAAATAACCTTTCTGACAGCAAAAAACACTGCGTAAAACAGAGAGGGTAAAAAAAAGCGTCTTCGCATCTAAAGTAGTAATTAAGCTAATAACAAAGAGTAGCATGCTCAACCAGCATTCTCATTAACAAAGAAAAGAAGCAGAAGAAAGACGCAAAAGTTTAAAACTCTTCTAGAGACTTAAAGAGGAAATCAACTACTACAACTCATTAGGTGCATAAAATTTGCTTCCCCCAGGATAAAATAAAATTTATTCTGTCTAAGAGTAAATTAGGTGAAATACAAAAGTGTTCGTTCACTGTAAAGCAGCATATGACTTAGAAAAGAAATGAATTATAATGAACAAACCAAATATTCAAGTAAGCTAAAATCGCAATTCCTTTGGACTACTAAACCTGCATTACTAGCTCATAACCACAGCAAAAAAAATTTCAATAAATTTAACACCTATGTAACTTATAACGAATAGGAATCATGTTCGTGCCTTTTATTCCAAATTTTTCACATCTGATATTATTTAGGAGCAAAATGAATAAACAACTATTATGCCAAGTTCCATATCGATAAGTAATTCTGCAGTGTCTCTTCCAATTCATTTTGATTCATTCCGGTTCAGTCGAACCTGCACGTTTGGCAAAACAACTATAACCGGCACCCCCCTCCCTTTCTCCCCCTTCCGCACTTTCCTTTAATGCACCCCACTCCAAACACTGTTTATAAGTGGTTGTTTCA